CGTCGCTCACGGCTTCTCTCGGTTCCCCCGCAGGCGGAGGCCCCGGTGCCGGCGGAAGCAGAAAGGTCCCGCTCCCGGTCATGAACCCCGCAGCATTTCGGGTTCCCTCTAGGTCAGTGCTTCAGGTCCACCGCACAGTCAAAGGCCCTACCGAAACACTTCCGCTGGCACCAAAACCGAAGCGACAGGGGCTGAAGGTTCTTCTGGTTTTCCTCCAAACCCCAAGCGCAGCCGCTGCTGCGGACAAAGGGGTTTCCCCCGCAGTACAGCAAGAACGCGGAGTGGAGACGGCGAGGGTCCGGCAGAGCTGAGTCGCCAGCTGAAGGCACAGCAAGAGGATGGTAGAGGAAGGAAAAGAGGTGGTAGAGGAAGGAAAAGACCAAGACCTGGAGAAGAGGGACGCAGCGCACAGCGAGGACCGTTGGCTGAGCGGAGCCTGGGACGCTCAGAAAATGAGGAGCAGATGGGCCCGGACCTGCGGTGGATGCTTCCTACTTATGGTACCACAACCGACATCCCCCAGGGGCTGGTGCCCCAAGGCAGCCAGCGCTGGGAGCTCATCAGGGTGCCTCTGGCTTAGTTTGAGCTTTGAAAGTCGCCCCACCGTGGGATCTGTCACCCTCCTGGGGGAGGAGGCACAGACATGGTGCGGGGAAGAGCTGCCTTCCTGCGGGTCCAGCGGTGCAACCCCAACACTCGACTCTACTCCTCAAAGTTTAGATTATTTCTGTCCTTCACAATCACCTTCTGGAAAGAAACCATAATACCCCAAAGGCAGCACTCGCTGCTCTTCTCCCACCTCTTGCCCCAACACTCCTCCAAGGGCACATTCAATTTACGCAAGGCTTTATAATCTCATTTTTGCTGGCCCACCCCTGCTTCTAAGTTTTACTCCAAATAAAGACAACAGAAACCCCTAAACCAGCAGGACTCGACGTTCACCTCAATGGCATGCTGGGAGATGCAGGCAGGCAGCTCTTGGAGCTTGTACAACACACACAGGACATTCCACCACCTTCTCCTTCCCTATTTGCACATCTCCAACTGGCACTTCACTCCACCTTCTCCAAGTATCAGTCCTGGCCCATACAGAAGATGTTAGTTCCTTCTCCTGACTAATCCAGACTGTTTCTCCCACCACTAAACATACCACACACACCATCCTAGCCCGTTAGCGTTCAACACTCCCTCCTGATCTGCTAAGCCCATCCTCACACTCTTTTCTTGCTCTTCTATGTTTCTTTTCCTCATGTGATGAGCAGACCTAACTTGCAGGTGATCAGTGTCATTACAAAAGCACTGTGGCTTTCCTGAACACTCAGTGGTTTTAAATATGGCAAAGTCTCACCTCTGGAGAGGCCTCGAGTGCAAGAGCAGTGTTCCTGCAAGTTCCTGTTTTTCTTTACAGACTCCCAGTGAAATTTATTTCAAGGAAAGCACATAAACAGGAAGACAACAGACAGTGGTAGAGCTGCAGTTAAGTTTTTTTACTGCAAAATTACACACTTTGCTTCTTGCAAGCATGAGGAATATATGCTTAGAATTTGGTAATCACATGGAAGCAGGATTTAGAGAAAACCAGCAACATCCAGCCAACCATCTAACTCCAGCCAAACAGCCAAGAGGCAGTTCTCTTCCCAGGGCTATCACCACTACTCCATCCGCTTAAGCCTCCCCACACTCACTGCCTATTTCCCCCCAGGAACCTACAAAAGGAAAACCTTTGTGAAACAGCTGCTTTAGGGACACTGTACAGTACCTATTTTTTGAACTGTGTTTCTTGAAGCATAGGTCCACTGGATCACTCCGGGAGCAACAGATGCTCTGAGTTGTTACCACCTCATCCTCCTTCACCTTCTGCCACAGTTGTTTCATCGTTCCTTCCATCCAACAATTTGAAAAGAAACTTTTAAGAGGCAGATTCAAGAACATCTTTTATATACAGACATATATACCATTTCTCCACTTCCTGGTTCTCCCAACACATGGGACAGAAGTTAAGCAATATATCCTCTCTTTCTTTAGACATCAGAACAAATATCATCCTTTGGAATGCTTTCACTTCAGTGTATTTTTCTTTTTCAAAGCAAGCAACAATAATCATTACGAGCTGTAGAAAAGTTACACTGTTTTGGACGGCAGCCTTCCCTGCAGTGTTTCACTGAGGACTGTTTTATTTACCTGGGATAGAGAATTGCTCCAGTTCCACTCCCTCTCTAGCACAATTTCACTTGTTTCATTCAGAGCAGGTCCTCAGACTTTCTTCTCTATAAAGGCGGTATGTTGGCCCTGAAGATAGCTCACTATCTTTTCCTCTATTTCCATGCCTTGTGCTATTTCCTCATCAGAAAGAGATAATGGAGTCTGTGAGTCTTTGGTTACAATAATAACAGAGGTTCTTCGTGACTCCAGGATATTTGCTACCACCACCTGGTGACGATATTTCTCCAGAGCCTGCCGTGATTTATCGATTAAGATCAAAGGATCCGTCTCCAGTTTAAAGGAAATAACAAATGCCTCTGGGGCCCATTCTTTGACGAGAGGGGACAGCATTTTTGGCACCATCTTCATCGTGATCTACATTGGGGAAAGACACCAGAAACAAGTTTCAGTTTTCTCATTACAATGTGTTTTAATAAGAGATGGGGTGGGGGGTAGGGAAATTACAGCTTCAGTTCACATTTATTTACATTGGGAAGTTTTTCAAGGCAATATTTGGTCAGATCTCACCAAACAAGGTTAAAAATGTCACTGTAAAGTTAAATTATCAGTCTGGTATTCACCATAAGCAGGGTGTTCTTAAGCGATGAGGCAGAGCCATGGTAACCGCATAAACATTTGCTATTTAAGTGCTAAAACTCACTCTCTGGGAATATAAACATAAGCATAGGAAGATAAAAAAAGAATTACAACTGCAGAAGTCTGAGTTTTCAGTTCTCCAAAACCCAAGCAGCTCATCAAATCTTAACCCTTCTTTCTATCAACTCTTTAGGGGACATGAAGCATAAATATCAAAGAATGGGGGGGAAAGTAGGAGTCTCTGTTCTCCAACTTCCTATCTTGTGGGTCTGTCACTGGGAATCAGGCTAGGTCTCACCTTTCCCATGCTAACAATAAAGGATTAAGCCCAGCAACCTGTTAGAAGCTAATTAAACAAAATAAATTTGGTATTTGTTATATACAGAGCTCTAGATCCACCTGCTCCTATACCTGAAAGGGACCTGGGCATGAGACACACACTACACCTTTGGGCTGTCGTCAGCATTAAAAGGTAACATAAATACTCCAGCAGCAACTACTCTTCAGCTGAGACCTACTCGTCTCCATGTTGTAAGCATGTACAGCTTTGAAAGGGTATTTCCACAGGATTCTGCTCCCGTGAAAATTCACCCTCCCACTCCCAGTGAAAACACACGCTTTTTTGGCCAGTGAGCTGTTGCTTTGCAACCCTTCTCGGGTCTAATTTACAGGCAGTGACCCTGGCAGGACGCTGGGGGGGGGGCATGCCCAGGGGTGCCTCACCTGCAGGGGCCCCTCCGAGGACTGGATCTTGTGCTCCGGCATCTCCGAGATGGGGATGTAGAAATCCGATACGGCAGCAGCCAGGTAAAACATGACACTAGAGCCTGCAAGAAATACAACTGCAGTCACCCATCCCTGCTGGCCCGTCCCGAGCAGCTTGGCCCCCTTGCCCCAGGGCCCCTCACGATGCACCAGAGCTGGCTGGGCTGCCAAGTGCTCCCCCCAACACCAACCAGGGGAGCCCAGGGCCACCCTCAGAGAGCCCCCCCACTGCCTACGGGCACTGCCCTGAGCAGGGCAGCGCTGCCCCCCCCCCACTGGGGTCCCCTCAGACACACTGTCACCGCCTCATCCCTCCCACCAAGCCCCAACAGCCCCCAGGGACCACCCAAACCCTCACACCGGGGTGCTGGAGCCCGCACGGGCCCTTCTGTGCCCTCATACCAGAGCCTACGGGAGCCCCGCGGCCGCCCCGTCCCCTC